GGATGTTACATATTTTTCACATAATTTAAGCTTAAATTACCGCTTTTTTTTTTTTTTATAAAATCTGAATTAGAACTCAAGAAAAGCTGATAAATTCACCTGTAGAAAGTAGAGCATTAAAAAAAAACATTTAGTAGATAAAACTGGGATCCTATCTCAATACCACTGAAGCCTTATTATCACCTTATTGTGTTTGAAATGTTAGTAAAACAGAATTTGTAAAGAAAAAAAAAGTAACAAAGTATTATGTCTTCAGTGCAGGGGCCATAACAGGGGCCAGGACATGAGCTCCAGGGGCACTGGCCCCCGTTGGCCCCTGTCTAGAACTGCCCATTGTAGTTGGAAACTTGTTTTGGCTTAGAAAAAATGCAAATTGAATCAGAAAAATGGGTCCGCCTCTTAGGAATGGGGAGTCGATACTGGTCTATGCCTCTGAAATGGGGGTCGTTAGAGGTAATTGTTGGTCTGGCTGATCAGGTGAGATTTTTTTGTCCCCTCCAAGGGACCCGCCCTCAACCCCCACCCCCATTCTTCATGTTCTCTGTTACCTGAAAGAAGGAATGCTCCGTCAGGTAGGGGTAAGTTTTGTATCGAGCTAAGGAGTTCTGTTGTCACAGAATGGTGAGGCAGATGAAGAGTAACACTGGGGTTTTGTCTACAGGAATCCAGGCATTGAGTCAAGAGCTGAGCTAAAAAACAGAAGCTAGCAATTTACTGGTCTGTAAATGTTCCAGGCCTCATCTCTGAACAAAGATGAATCCTATCCCAGAAAATGAGATCCAGGACCCAATAAGTTACTGTTGGTCTGTAGGAAAGCTTGGTTCGGGCACTGGGGGCAGAGTGAGGATCCATCTATAAAGAGCTGTCAGCAGAGCTGCTGCTCCATCACATCAAAAAATTAATTTGAGGTGGTTTAGGAATTGGATCAGGATTGCTCCTAGGCACCTTGTTTTGGGGGTCCAACTAGAATATACTAGAAGGACCACAGTTCCTTTTTGTCCAGGATAAACCATGGGACCCTGAACAATGAACTGGTGGGTCATTAGGATGAAGGATGTCTGGGTTTCTTTTCTTACCCTGACAATACGTGGATGTATTTATAGGCCTACTGCCCTAAGTTAGCTGTTGGTATATAGATCAATTGGTCAGGTTTGCACATCTAGATACAGGGTCTGAAATTCTGTGTTATGTTTACTCCTTATGTGGAGAAACTTTTACAGCAGAACTCAGAATAAGATTTCAATTTTACTTTAAACATCTGCTGGCATGAGATTAAAACACTCAACAGTGCGACACATTTACCAGTTTTCAAAAATAAATATTACTAAACCAGCAGTCTTCTTCCAGCAATAAAAATGGACATTTTTGCTTTTAAACTATTTCAGGGCTATATAAAGATATCTCCCTTACAATTAACAATGTCTGACTCATTTCCTGTGTGATAATTAAAAGGTAAGACATTTTTTTGTTTTTTCTTCTTCCTGGCTCTTATTTTAGGTGGATGGACTCGCAGCAAGATGAAACAGATGTTATTTGTGCCTCACCTCCTTCACAGAAAGGGATAAAAGTTAGAGATAGCACTGTTTTCAAGACGTGCGAGACCAAGGAAGAACAAAAGCCAAAGACAAAGACAAAGGCAAAGAGAAAAGACAAAGGACAAAAGACAAGGAAAGGCAAGGCTGGCCGACGTCATTGAGCCTTCAGCCATGCAGGTATTTAACACCTAAAAAGCCATACAGTGCATCTGTAAAGGATAATAATAATTAAACGTTATTGATCTCACATTGGAGAAATTTACCTCTGCTTTTAACCCATCCCCTTGGGGAGCAGTGGGCTGCCATCGTGGGGCACCCGGGGAGCAGTGTGGGGTTCAGGGTCTTGCTCAGAGACCCAGAGTCTGTGGGAGTGGGTCTCAAACTCAGAACCTCAGGATTCCAAGCTCTAGGCCCTAACCACTAGGCCGCCACTCCCCAGAATATGGATTTATGCACACATCTTAAAACAAAATAGTTTTTAATTCTTGCCCTAGGATGTGGTACACCATGTCCAGGGCATGAGGGTGTCTGGTTGGGAGGAAAAACTGTTTAATTTGACACCTGGTCTTTTTGTTAATTTGTTTTGTTTTGTTCTGCCAGGGCTCTCTCCCTCTGCAGGAAGCACAGGAAAGAAGTCGCTCAAGATGACCAGCGATGCTTACTGACCTGCTTTGGGACTCTTGTAAAGAAAAAGCTTCATGCATTATGGTTCATACAAACACATATGCTTTTCTTTTATCATTTATATCAAAGACTGAATAATAAAATGGAAGCAGCTATGAAGTAAGTGTGAGACAACCAGAAAAGAAAAAGTAATTCACAACAAAAAGGGAAGATGTTGGTTTTTCCTTACACATTTAACTCATTTCTATTACTGCTGAGGGGACCTTAGTATTCATCTATCACCCTTTAAACTGTAACCCAAACTAAACATCTAACATCTAAATGCAACGCCTTACCGAAAATACCCATAGTGCCCAATTGTTTTACCATTTGATCACGTTGCAACCTCAAACCTCAATGTTTTTTTAGATTTTATGCCACACTCCAACACCAAAAAGGTTCATAATTAGGGAGAGGAGGGAGAAGGATGCCACGTTTTTATTTATTCTACAAATAAATATCTGAAAGTCACAGTAGTAGCCTAATATAGGTTAGACCGGATGGAGAGAATCTGTGAATGTTTTAGTTTTATGTATTGCCACAGATTCTTGATTGGATTTTGCTCTTTGATTGGGCCGTTTTGAAATGTCCTAGCTTCATCTTTTCATCAAAGGATTAATTTTTTCAACAATTACATATCTACAAACATCTAGAGTGGTGCAGAATAAAAGTATTCATCTTACTGTAGATAAATATATAGTATATTAATATTTGTTTTATACATTTTGAGAGGTATAAAAACATTTGCTTCTGTTTACTAAGCCAGCGTTGACACTAAAGGATTGTGACCCACAAAGTGAAGTCACATTAGATGGAGCTCAGTCAGGCGTTTCCAGAGGCTTCTTCATGATGGAGCTGAGAAACGGCTTCTTCTCAGATTTACATTTCCCAAATTCAAGTAAAAAAAACACAACTTTTGAGCATTGGTGCTCACTAAAGCTAAAGGGGTTGCCTCTTTTGTTCTGAACATGCAGGTTATAATGTTTGTGGTCAGCATTAGCATTAGCTGACATGGAAAGTGGTTGGCGGGATCTATCAGAGGAGAGCTGGTGTCCTGTCAGAACAGCATACGCTGTCAGATCAGCATACGATTAATTTCCATCTAACCTGAATGATTTCAGAGTCCCGATATAAATCACCTTAATCATGAAAAAAAATCTAACCCAATTTAAATTCCCACACACGTTTTTTATGCTACTAAAGTAACTTATTTTAAATTAATATTGACTAATTGGATTTTAACTATAGAGGCTTCTTCGTCTGGCTGTTTCTACATCCAAGAAATAATAGTATATTTAAAGCTGATTTTCATTTTTAAAAGTTTAAATAAATGTGTTTTTTCTGGTTTGTACGCTGCTGCTAAAATTCAATGTTCTCTGATGCGCATGTGTATAAGAACAATGTATGCTGTTCTGACAGAACACCAAAGAACACAATTTCACTACTTACAGGGCAGGAGGAGTTAAACTTGTAGCCATCTCCTTTAACAGATAGAAATGCTTTGATCTATACACTGCTATAAACTTTTCTTCCACACCATCCCAGTTATAACAGCTATTTTTTGTTAAAATTGTCTGTAATCAACTTCATTTAATCTTCTCACTAACTCTGACCAGCACACATCTCCCTACTGACAAAAAAAGAATCGCCACAGCATGATACTACCACCACCATGTTTTACTACGGGGATGGTGTGTTCAGGGTAATTTACAGTGTAAGTTCTCTGCTATGCACCGTTTTGCACTTAGTGAAGAAAGTTTAATGACCAGTCTTACTAGAGCACCAGCATAACTTAAACCAAGAGGTTTATGACTTCTGTTCAAAAGTAAATATATTTGTACTACTTTTTTGATAAAGAACAGATTTCTATAGTCAGTCTTGGCAGATGGCCGCTCACTCTGAGCTGGTTTCTTCCTGTTAAATAGGGAGTTTTTCTCTCCACTAAGCATGCTTAGTGTGAGGGATTGCCTTCGAGTCAATGAGTCGATGCAATCAACTGGTTTTCCTTAGATAGAAAACTGGGAATCAATTTGACTATATGATTTGGTGAACTGTAAAGTGCCTTGAGATGATGTGTTATGAATTGGCGCTATATGAATAAACTATACATTAATAACAGACATACTTTAATAATTCCCTCTGGGATTATTAAAGTATGTCTGATTCTGATTCTGGTTAACACAGTACAGCCTTTAATTTACAAATAGAGACTTTTGAACGTTATGATGGATTTTACATTGCATCATGTTTTTTGATTTATTTGTTAAAAAGTTTCACAATCTTTCTCCTACATCAAAACACTTTGCATGAGTCAATCTAAAATCTAAAATCTCTTGAATTTTTGGTGTTATAATGTTATAAAATGTGGAAAAGTGTACGGAAAATTTTTAAAAGGTGCTATATGTCCAAAAGGACTAAATAGAAGAGAGAACAATTTTTTGTCCTTGCAGTTTCTTCTATTATTGCTAAAGTCACCTCAGAATATTAGATTTTTCTTCCCACCGTGTACAACTATGAGGAGGATACACTCAAGTTGTTCTTTTTTTTTTTTACTTTCTACTTAATGTATTTCTGAACGGGGTTTGCTCATTTATTGTTTATCTTTTTTTTTTTATATAATAATGACTGTTCATATCCAATAAACATTTCTAAACTGATCATCTTTGCCTCTTCACTATATCATACGTCGCCCTCTTGTGTCTCAAAGCTGAACTGCACATTTAAAGTATGTCAGGAATTGGAATTTAATTTTGCAGTCGCACAACTAGCCATTTACTAAGATTTGTGTGAAAATCTACCCACTGTCATTTCTTTAATGCCCATCTCAGACACCACTTTCTTCACCAGCTCTGCAGGGCATGGGGAGCCAGCCATGATGCCTGCAGTGCAGAATAAGGTTATTTAAATTAATCCGGCAACAATACGAACATCAAAATCAATATTCATCTGTGTTTCTTACCCCCCTCTACGGATGACAAATCATATTTAGCAAAATCTGGTTGGTTAAGCATGTCAACATACATGGTGGGAGTCCCGTAGACAGAGGTGCATCTGGCAGATAAATCAACAAAATAATCTTTCAGTCAGAAAAACAAACGCAATATTTGCATCATCTTAAACCTGAGCTTCACTCTTAAAAAATCTCATCTCAAACATGGTAGCACAGAAAGATGCATTTTTTTTATTGCAGGAGTTTATTTGAATACAAAGAATGCTTATTTACTTAAATACATGATTTCATTCCTAACCAGAACAAAGTCTTTAAATCTTTAGTTCAGCTTATATGCATTCGAAACTACTTTTGAAATACATATTTTCAAGACTAAAATCATTAACATCATCCCTCCAGCGCACATGGTTTTAAAACAGTATTTTCAGTATTACATCATGCCGCTGCATCCTAAATGATGCTGTTTGATCTCTGTATATCATTATACACATTGATAGAAGTCTTGCTTGTCTTCTACAAATGTGCCTAAAAGAAACACAGTCTTTTTTACCTTTTACACAGTCTGTTTTACCTGCACGGCCATATAATGTCAGAGTGAGGAGTGTTTGCATACAAGAAATACTATTCCCATAACAAGCCAGATCCTATCTCAAGGTTTGTTATGGTTTAACCAGTGTTTGACTCTGACACAAACTTCACAGCATTTCCATCATTTTAAGTAAGTAAGACAGACAAATGCTGGCCGGGTCAGAAGAGGGCTGATTACCGTGCAACAACGGCTGTATGATGTCTTGTTCCGTCTTTGCAAAGATAAAACTGCCGACTGACTGAATTATATCAATCTCTGTTTATTAAAAGCAGAAGTCTGGTCATATTCAAAATTGAAAAACTTCTGAAAGTACTTTAAATATGAAATTATTACATACTGTTCAATAAATGATAAGTGTCAATAAATGATAAGACTAATTTTCATTTGAATGTGCTTTACTGGAGGCATCCATGTTTGTCAAAGAACACTACTGCCACCTACTGGTGTGCGACGTCACAATGCGGTATCGGCTGTTGATCAAGTCCCAATGATGAATCTGGTGTTTTGTCACAACGCGCTATTATCCAAGTCATCTTGAAAACATTCTTCTTCCAAATGTTGGCTACATATTACGTGATTTTTCTCTGGCCAGAAGTTTGATGGCAAATCCTCCCTCTTCAAGTTAGCAATCTAACGACGGACCCGTTCGTGGAGGATCAGGAATCACTTTTACCCGATGTATTACAACATCCAACAGCCAGTTTAACTATAGCTGTTATGAATTTCAACACTGAAGTCCTCTGGAAATCTTCAATAATTGTTGTTTATTGCAGATGTGTCTAGTAGTTCCCACTGATTTTGCTTGTAAAGCAGGGAGAATGGTGCTAGGCTTACCGCACCGTGACGTCACTGCCGGAAAACGTCACTGCTGGAAGACGTTGCCATATTTGGGCAAAAATGGCCGGTCCCAGACTCAGTGATATGGCTGTTCAGTGGGGCAGTGGGTAGCACTGCTGCCTTGCAGTAAGTAGGTTCTGGGTTTGATTCCCGGCCCCGGGTCTTTCTGCATGGAGTTTGCATGTTCTCCCTGAGCATGCGTGGGTTCTCTCCGGGTACTCCAGCCAATTACCGTAACCTAACATGACCTGTTAGGTTAATTGGCTTCTCTAAATTCTCCTTAGGAGTGAGTGTGTGCGTGAATGGCTGTGTGTCTCTGTGTTGCCCTGCGATGGACTGGCGACCTGTCCAGGGTGGACCCTGCCTATCGGCCATTGACTGCTGGAGATAGGTACCAGCACCCGTCGCCACCCCAATCGGGACAGGCGTGTCAGATAATGGATGGATGGATAATTCCTTGCTAACCAGACTTTTCCTTTAATTGGAGTAAATAGTTGAATGCTTTTTCCCCCACAACAAGATGCACAGTTTTTAATATTTATGTAAACATTTTGTTTTTTGTAGTTTGCACAATTTCTATATTCTTCACTTTTCCATTTCTTAGAATGACCATGTCCTATTTTTTGTAGTAATGTAGTCTCTTTTTTTATTACTGTTTATCATTATTTAAATCTTTATGTATATCTTTGTTTTTTGTTCATACACCTTCATATGACAACCATTTTGCTACTAATAGAAATAATAATGCGGGGGGAAAAAATGTTAAAGTTGTGTAAAAAATATAAAAGTGGACAGAAAAATACTATTTAGCGTATATTATCAAGTGTATTTGCATGTTCTATATAAAATACTTTTTTCTTCATATGAAGAAGACTACACCAGCTCTGGAAAACCATTTTAATTAGAGACAATACAAATATGGAATGTTTTATACTATATAAATAAAATGCAAATATAAAGAATTTGTTTGTTTTTTTATCATTATAGAATTTAATTTTTTAGACTATTTCTTCATTTCATTTGTGCTTGGAAAATAAAATCAAATACGTTTCTATATCTTAAAAAAACAAACAAACAAAAAACTACAACAGCTCCCTGTCATCCACTAAAGCAATTTTAGACATGAAAAATTCTGTTTCGGTAGATTGATGCACATATACTTTACAAAAAAAAAAAACCCTTTGATGTATCTTCTTGTTCAGGCACATATTTAAGCAATGCTTTTCACATATCAGGAGAAATGCAGCATTCCACCAAGAATCAAATCTTGTAACACTCGATGCAGTAACTCCTCTGTTCAACATTTTTATTGCCTGTAAACAAAGTAAATCTGCAGAGTGATTTGTGCAAACTGGAGCTGGTATTTTAAGCTTTGTGTTGAGTAAATTTGAGACGTTCAGAAACCGGTTGGCTCACCTGTTTAACAGAGGAGATTACTCCAGCCTATATTCATTTCAAATAAGCTTATAGATAACTCTGTTCAACCATGACCTCCTCAGCTTTAATATCAACCTACAAGTAATGGGTACTCCATTTTTAGAATAACTGATACCAGTTAGATCCAGTGCTTTGTAAAGTATTTATTCAGGTTGTGTTAACTTGAATTACCTCTCACTCTCCATTGCTTGAAGGTTGGCCTTCCCGTTGTATCCAGTGGAGGGAAAGACCAGGGTGATGCCATGAACGCCCATAACCATCCCTCCACCAACAGAGCCGAAGCAGTGGTATAGAGGCACAGGCACGCAAACACGGGGGTGGGGCTGCAGATTAGACATACAAAATACACTGAGCATGATGAGTGAAGGAATTAGTAAGGGTCAAACTTCTTTCTGTTAATAAATATAAATATTAAAACATATGCAGTTAGAAGACCGGAGAATTTAACTTTAGGGTTTAGCTGCAGAGTCCCCCAAATCCTCTCTTCTAATGCCAGAAAATCAGTTCTGCTACTCATCTTTTGTCTGCTGTCATTTATTGGATTAGAAGTTCAGCATTTAGAAGCAAGACATATTAAACTGTTTAAAAGTTTATCAGTTTAGCACCTTAGGTGTTAAATGAGGCCAGCAAATGGTGACATGGGGCTGTTGGATTTATAATTTGAAGAGAATTACTCAATCAAACTTCTGAGGGGGGATTAACAAGAACTCTTCACCTTTTTCTATTAATGATCCAGCTTTTGTTGGAGGATTTATTTCACTTCCTTTTTTTGTGTTAACTGCTGCATGTGCTATTTCATGTTTTTTTTTTTTTTTTCCTGGGGAAATGCATGTCACCAAACAGCTGCTTCTGTTTGATCAGCTGATTTAAGTAGTTCTCAAATAAAAAACTTCCCAACTACCTGTATTCTAGAAAGATGATGCGTCTCTTTTTTTCCTTTTTACGCCCGGAGGAATTGTTTAAGGTTTAGGAATTGTAAATAGTAAAATGATATTCTTTGACTTTTAGAAACTTAGGACCGTATAATATATATCTCACCCCTGTTTTATTGTCATTACATTGTCACAAGTACAGAGTAACGAAATTCACTCTGTGCATTTAACCCAGGAGTGTCAAAGTGGTTCCAGAAAGGGCCGTGTGGCTCCAGGTTTTCTTTCCAACCAAGCAATAGCACTCCAGTCATCTCATCAAGTGAGTCCAATCGGAACATAATGACTTGACCAGATAACTGGAATCTGGTGTGTTTTTCCTTGGTCGGAAAGAAAACCTGCAGCCACACGGCCCTTTCTGGAACCAACTTGACACCCCTGATTGAGCCCTGGGCTGCCATTGTGTGGCGCCCGGGGACCAGTGTGAGGTTATGGGTCTTTTTGCTCAGGGACCCTGAGTAGCAGTCTTTGGGAGTGGTGTTTGAACTCAGAACCTCTGGATTCCAAGTGCAGTACCCTAACCACTAGGCCGCAACTCCCCCATCACTTTAAAGCAGAGCGTGGTTTCAGTACGCCCCCCTTTTTATGGGCCCATATCATCTATCAAGGAGAGAGTTTTACAACTGGTTTATAGTTCGATGGGAGTCTATAAAACATGGGATCATTTTCAAACATGCAAAGTAAATTAAACACTGAACTTTGCACATGGATTTCGGTTAGACTTGGTCTGACCACCTTTTTTTCAGCTTCTCTCTCACTGCAGTGTTTGAGGTAAAACCTGAGGATAGGCATTCTCTACACTACCTGTATATACTTCTTTTATTTCTCCTCTTGAAAATACTGCTATGTGGTCTGTTTCTACTTCATTGGCAGCGCCCTCTTGATGTTGGATTGGGTCACTGTTCAGCAAAACTCCAGAGCAGAGGCAGAAAGCATGGATGGGTTAAAAAAAAAAAAAACATAGATGGAAACGATCACAAAGCAGACTCTGTGGACTCAAGTCAACCAAAGAGAAGCCTGTGGGAAAAGTGGCCGTTTATATTGGAGGAACCGCTGTAATGCTGACCACCTGCTACTATTGATGGAACTCAGAATGTTTGGAAAAGACCTTATAGGCCTTCATAGATTGATGGGCAGTTGAATTTCCAACGACTTTTCTGACTGTTTTCTAACAAAGTATCTTATATCCACCTCTATTAAAAAATAAGAAATTAACTCCTGCACCCATAGATAATCCGTTTATCAAACTCCTTTAAACGGTAACACACAGCTTTTTTTTTTTATTTCTAATCGTGTGGAAATACCAATAGATGATCTGGTTTTTGACACACAGCTTGAATCTTTAAGCTGTTTTCAGATTTAAATATTTCAAAAAAAAAAAATGGTAAAGAGGTGAGAAGGTTCAGAAATAAATATTTCAAAAAAAAAAAATGGTAAAGAGGTGATCGTTTTAATTATTTTCTGATGACTAAAAACCCCAGAGACCAAAAACTTCTTGACAGTGTAATGTACGGAAAGTTGACTTCTCCTGCAGCTGATTCCAATCCTCTTCTGAAACTACTGTGTTGTATTTACATTCTTATCTTTTGTATTTTTGATGTCTATGTTGAATCGTAGTCGTAAATCATTGAATTATGCTCCTGCATATAAAATGGCCAATAAAAGTTGGCCTGATAAAGTTTATGATGGCTCATGCTCACCTTCCAGGTGTATCCAATTCTTTTGCCAATAAAGTAAGCATTGTTGACAATGTTGTGATGTGAGAGAGTGGCACCTTTTGGTGCTCCAGTTGTACCCTGAAAACAGAAATGTCATTAGCAATTTATCCCTTAAGGTCAGAGAAAGTATAAATGTGATTCTCCGACTAGCTGATAGCCATGCCGTTCTGTAAACATGAACCCGATGCTTTACAGAAAGTCTTTGAACATAAAGAAAAATGTTATCTTAAAGGTCAAATGTATCTTAGACATAGAGAATCTAATAAGCTTTAATATAAAACCATATCATTTGCAAACAATCTTTCCATAATGTTTCCAAGTAGCATCGATTGATTTCAATGCGTGAAGATGCCAAGATAAGAAGTACAGTTCATGCAGTGTTAATGCCTTATAGCTTAAGGGAAAAGTCGGCAGCCAGACCATCATGTGTACAGCAAGTGACGTTTGTGAAAAGAGGGATTTTGGACCCAATGAAATGAGGCCTTAAAAGTGAGCTAGCTGTCTCAGCCCCCGCAAACTTTCTGACAGAGGTGGGGAATGTAGACTAAACAATTTTACGTATATAAAGAGGGGGGTGAGTGCTGAGTAATATAATGTAAATTAATTAGTATGTGTGTCTGTGAGTTTGTTGCCGAGTGTCATATTATTTTGTTAGTATCATAATTACATTAGGGACCCCTCTGTGCCCCTGTTAATCATGGGCCCCTAGAATCCTCCTTTTTCACCAATTTTTGGTGCATCCGTTTTTTAGGATGAAACTGGAAGCAAAAAAGGCAAGAAAGGGTGTTGCTTTACTTTGGTTTGTACTTTTTATGCAGCCTCTGTCAGTTTAAACATCTTTCTGTTGTTTATGGGTCTCTTTTTTTTTAGATAAAACTGTAGCTATTTCCACCAAATGTTCTTCAGGATGTTTAGTATTGGATCATATTATTTAAAGCATAGGTGGTTAGAGTACCCAAACATTGTACTTGAGGATGAATAACACTCCTTAATCATATTTTTGCTCAAGTGAGAGTAAACAAGTATTTGGTAAAAAGGGCTACTCATGTACTGACAAAATATTAGCATCTGATATTTAAAATAATGTTATAAAGTGAGACCAAAATTAAAAGTTAGGGCTGTTTTAAAGACCATTATAAAAAGACTTATGCAAAACAAATCAAGTAAGAAAGGAATAACAACACAAGGCAGAAAACTTTTCCAAAACAATTTTGTTTTGAACATAAAACTACGAAACCAGTGCCTCCATTGAGAATACTCCTTACTGTATATCAGCTTGACCTCCTAATTTTATGGTTAGTTCAAGTAAGCTTGCGCACAAAAAAGTAACACTCATTTTGGCATAAATATTAACTATATGTCTTTGACTAGAGAATTTAATTACCTAAATAAACTTAACTCCCCAGAACCTTTAATCCCTTAGACCTTCAGCCGATTACCCTTCTTGCTTTACTTTCCATTCTCCATCTTTAACTCCGAACTCCTCAAACCTAAATACAGATGCGTTTCAGCAACTTTTTAACCTGGGGCCTTCTGAATCATCCAATCCTTTCATATGTTCCCTTCATGGGGTGAGAAGACAGTTAACTGCTAGTATAGGCTCTCTCAACATACTCTGGTTTTCTTTAAAGAGTCCAATAATTATGCCTGGTTAAATGGTTTCTGCAACTGCCTTCATAAAGTGACCAAGGATCAACTTGCTGCCTTTTTTTTAAATCTCTTGTCTCTCTATCACTCTTTGTTTTCTAACCTTTACCTGTCCACACTTTCTTTGGTCTTTTCTTTTGACCATTTCTAACGGAAGCATCATGAAAAATAAAGTCAAATAATAATAAATTAAATTAAAAAAAAATTCACAAAAATTATCATTTCATAAAAAAAGAAAACCACAGGAAAGAGACACACACACACACACACACACACACACACACACACACACACACACACACACACACAGATTTCTCACTATTTTTACAGGGCCTTTCCTTTGACTTCCATTAATTCATACAGCCTAACCCTGACCCGTGCTGCACAGCTAAAAGGACACTACTTAGGAGATAACTTAATAATAACTGGAATTGGATGTTTAATAATCCATTAATCAAAATTAATCCAATTAATTCCCCCCAACCTGAGATGTTGTATTTAAAACATTTGCAAAACCTATAGTATTAACCACAACTAACTATACATACTGTATATAAAAATCAGAAACAATCTAAACCTTAAGTATATTAATTAAAAAATGGATTCCAGAATAATTAACACACGTAAGTCAGCCATTGTTTCCACATGTGAGGATGTCTCAGCCTTTTAAAAACCGGTAATCAGGAAACAAATTTAAGTTAAAGCTGCTGTAACTCAAATTTTCTCTGAACCTTTTTTGGATCCTTTGTCCAATAAGATCAGTTTACAATCCACAGCAGTAATAGTACAAACCCCATCTTTACACCAGTGCATACTCTTCCGCCGATAAGTGTTCTGCAGCATACCTAAACAATTACATAGTGAAGCTTGCAGATTCACAGCTGTAGCTGGACTCATTGGCTAAAAACAAAAAAGCCTGAGTATACTAGAAAGTCAAATAGCTTGAGGACCTGAGGAAGAGCTTGTAACAGCTTTGGGGTTTTGGATTAGACTGAGGAGATGCCTGGACAGTTATGTAGTTAGGATGGAGCAAGATAAGAATCAGCAGGCTAGAGCCTCGTCTGCAGAGATTTTAAAGAGACAGAGGCCTCACAAATAAAACATTTTGTTTTTAAGATAAAAAACTTTTTTGCCTGTCAATATGCTCTATCTAGAACTCCTCAAGATGAAACGTTTTAGTTTCACCTGGTTTATTTTCGCAAAAAGTATTCTTCAAGGAACCTTTTGCTTTAATTATTAATCGATTATTTGAAAAAATAATCGACTGATGGATCGATTTGCAAAATAATTGTGAGTGGCAGCCCTATTGCAAATATAAACTCTATGTAAACCTCTAAGTTATCTCCTAAGTAGTGTCCTTTTAGCTGTGCAGCATGGTGGGGCAGCGTAACTTCTCTGCTCTGCTCGGAAGGTAAGGATGTGATAAATGAGGAGAGCTTCATGTTAAGCATTTCTATCATGGTAGAAAAAGACGTGTTAGAAATAGTAAACAGTAGATGAGGAAGGCTTTTGTGTGCCTTCCTTTTGTGTGGTCTATGAAGAACATACAAAATGTTCTTCATAGACCTTATTCTCAAGTATTTTCAGTGTGATTTTTTTTCTCTTTGGAAGATTTAGGTTTTATCTTATATATGAATATATAAATTCACCAGCCATCCATCAGCAGGAACTTATCATATAATTACCGAGGTGAACTGGATGTTTATTGGGTCATCAAAGGAAAGCTTCGCCTGCAGATCCTGCAGCTGCTTCACATGCTGACTTTCTCCGGCCTGCATCACGTCCTCAAAGTGAAACATTCCTGGTCGTCGGCTGTCCAGGATGATCACAGAGCGGAGTTCTGGGAGTCTGAGGAGTAGGAGGAGGACAAACTCACACAAAGGGTAGCTGAAAGACTAGGAAATCAAGTAGATGGAGTTTTAAGGATTCAGTTAAAAAGCTACTCTTATTGAAGAGGCATTGGGATTTTATTACTGGCTAAAAAATATTTCATTACTTACAAATTCTACTTTTTGATGATCATTTTCAGAGTTTGGATGATCATCACAATTAGACAGCACACCCCTGTAGGAAAACCTCTGGAAACTTTTTTTTGTATAAAGCGATAAAAAAATTTTTAGGCAGATTGAGAGACCAACAACAACGTGCCATTTAAAACTGTAAACCACATATGTATCTCAATAATTTACAAGTTATTTGGAATTTAGATAATTGCAGCAATCAAGTTGGTCTGTCAATCAAACCGTCCCTTTCAGGTGAAGCAAAGTTTTTAATGGTGCTCAGACACCGCTAAGGAACCACTGAGGCGTTACTCTGCCAGGATACTCTCTGCTCACAATTTAACATCTAAATAAACCGAAAAGGTTTTGACCAAGAGATAAGACTTTTCTTTAAAGTGACTAAACTGATCTTAAAGGTATAGTGGAGAATTTTCGTGAATTTTTGAAAAGACCCAATTTGGCTGCAGGTAGACAAACTCCAAATTCATCCATTTCACCTCAAATTCTCCAACTAGATGGTTGGAACCTTACCTTCCAATGGGATAACTTATTTTGGAGCAGATTTATATGCATAACATTAGGTTTGTAATATTGTTCCGACCAAAAAACGGTTAAATATATGGGGCAGGATTTAAATCTGGGTTTTGTTGCAAGAAACTAATTAAAAAACACTAAAATTGTGGCTGCAAGTAATTACAGAAGGAGGGTTGTTACAGGGTGTTTATATTTAAAAATGAATTTATCTCAGGGAAAGTTAAAATCAACCCCAGAAGTGTCTGGAATACTGCAGCTCATTCAATGCAGAAAAAAAGTTCTCTAAGAGCAAGCAAGCAGTTGAAAAAAAGAACAGCCTTACAACAGAGTTATAAACAGTCTCAGCATCGTGTAGAAACATATGTTAAACATCTGTTCAGAGTGATGCTTATTGGTTCCTGTTAGTCCTTCAGAGACTGAATAGAAAAACACACGAGTTTAGGGAGAATCCCACAATGGTCTCTGTTTTTGGATAGGCATGTTATTCTGAGAGGGCGGGGAGCAAATCAAAGCCTTATGTAAGCGGTCAAAGGGTGGTGCTTTACAAGGAGGAGTTTCTCTATGTTCTCAGTTATCTATATGGAGCGGTAAGAGAAGAAAACAAACGGATTCTTTGTAAATGCAGAAGCTTAATGCTCACTGTTAACAATTCTAACTTAAAGATCCAGAAATAATCAGGAATGTGTTCAGACTTCCACGGGTTTTCATATTTTGTCAAGTAATAGCCAAAAGTTTCCTTGTGCACATTTTATTAGGATCTTATAGTAAAACAGAACATAGAAGTAAACATTTTACATGGTTCTACATGTGCTGCATGTGTATTCAGCCAATTTGCATCCAGTTTACCTTTTCTTCTGCATTTTTATTATCTGACCAAATCACTTTGGAGAGTCTTGCCACTGTGTTTGGTGAAAGCATGTCTGGATATTATCCTTGTTAGATTTGGCTGAGAACTGTTAAATCTACATTACCTCTCTATATCATCTGTTTTTATATGATTTCCTTGGATCAGCTGGTTACCCTGGTGGGTTCACTAGCCATGGAAGGACTTTTCTCTGGTATGGACGTTTTGTTTACCTTTGAAAAGTAAACTCTTCTCCGGATATATAAGGTGACAGCCTCAAAACAAATTAGCAAAAATAAATAAATGTTTCAACTCATTAATATTTCTGCGCCGTCCTGTCATTTCTTCATGCCCAGGCCTGCACTCATTTAGAAAGCACTGCCCTATATAAGTATGGAGAACCGGAAGAGTCACTCAAAAAATAAAAACATTTTAAATTTAACATTTAAACTAAAGACTAAATAAGACTAAAAAAGACCATTTTGGCTGCATGGTGGAGCACTGCTGCCTTGCAGCAAGAAGGTTCTGGGTTGAATTCCCGGCCCAGGGTCTTTCTGAATGGAGATTGCATGTCCTCCATGAGTATGTGGGGGTTCTCTCCGGGTACTCCGGCTTCCTCCAACAGTCCAAAAACATGACTGTTAGGTTAATTGGCTTCTCTAAATTCTCCTTAGGTGTGAGTGTGCGTGTGCATGGTTGTGCGTCTGTATGTTGCTCTGTGACAGACTGGTGACCTGTCCATGGTGTACCCAGCCTCTTGCCTATAGACTGCCAGCTCCACCACGACCCTGAAAAGGACTAAGCGGGAAAAAANATGGATGGATGGATGGATGGATGGATGGATGGATGGATGGATGGATGGATGGATGGATGGATGGATGGATGGATGGATGGATGAAGGCAATTTGGAAAGTGTTTTGTGGTTGCATATTTCAAATTAAATTATTAAGGAGGAATTGGGCTTTTTTTATCCAGTAATCCAGTATAATTCAATTTGAAAATTCGTTTTTCAATCCTATTTCTAAACTGAGAAACCATAATTCTTATAAATGAAATTTTTGGACATTTAAAAAATCTAATTCTTTTTCTTATTTCTTTTGCACTGTGAATTTTCAAATCCTTTTTGAAGTCACATTGTTTCTCCTCTCCATACATTAACTGGTCCCTGTGCATTTTAATGGTTTTCCTTTTTTCATTCAGCTTATGGAACTTCGGTAATAAAATTTTACTAAACTGTCGGTAAGTTGTTATCAAAACATTAAATTTTATCCCTATTCAATTTTTATTATGTTCATTTAGCATAAACTACCATGTTTTCAACTGTGGATCTTGTTCCCATCGCACAACAAAGTTTTTCACAAACTGTTAAAAGTAAGAACAGAAAAAAAGAATCAAACCTGATTTAATTGCGTTTATGTTTGGAGGGCTGGACTTAATGTCAGTCAGTACCACATGTTTGTCCTTTTCCACATGTAGATGTGCGCTACGTTCGTTTTGAGTTCTCTTAATGCTCCAAAGTCAGGCTCAAAAGGCTGTAGTTAGGGAAAGTCCATTAATATTAACTTTTTCCCAGGTTTTTTTTTTTTAGGTTAATAGACGTTATATATCTAAAATATTAAAAATATATATGAAAACAATAGTTTCTCATGAGGAAAGAAAATAATATAATAATATTTTTTATGCATGTCAGAACTGATCTAGAATTTACTGATAAAAGTCCAGAATTTACTGATAAAAGTCCAGACAGATTGAATATCTGATCTGAATATACTTAAAATAATTCTAAACGGAATTAATTCACTGACTCTGAGGTGGAAATGTTTTTAAGTGACCATTGATCCGTTTTATTTTTTACAATACAGATGCCATTTAACTGCTTTGGACACTTTTATCAAACTACTGTACTACAGCTAATCATGTCCAGGACATTATTATAAAAGACATTGTAAATCTCAATGAGTTTGTGTTAAAATAAGAAAATAAATACCCTTAGATTAACAGTTTCATGGGTTTTGAGGTTGAATCAGTGTGAAATTGTGCAGGATTAATCATCAAGTATTATAGTGGTTTCTTTCCTCAGAGTACATGCAAACTTCCCAATACCGGTGTCTTAATTCCTGCAAGATAAAAAGAAAAAGACCTCAAAATCGAAGTTTATGAACGCCAGCTGCCGTACCTGTTGCTCTTGAGGTCTCCTGGGACGCACTTCTCGATTTCAGGACAGATCTTCATCAACATGTCGCAGTAGTTTTGAGTTTTAAACTCTGAAGGACACACAACGGCCTTACAGCCTACCTGTGAGGAGACGCAAATAGTTCTCATCCTTTAAAGATCATACCAGGATAACGAATCTGTATTAAACGCAAAATAAAATAAATCACTCACTTTTAGTAAAGCATGCTCCACTTCCTTTTGTTGGTAAGCTGGGTTTAAAGACACCTGGTGAGAAAATAAGAATAATTGAAGGATTCAAAAAAAAAAAAAAAAAAAAAAGGAAATGGAAGGAAGATATGATTTAGATCATTAGTGCCTTCAGTTAGTTCCCTATTTTTCAAAATAAAAGCTGAACTAGGCATGAATAATATTTTCTCACTTTTAACTTACTGCATTAATCAATAACACACATTTGCAATCGTGTATTTACTGTCTATTTTAAACTGCAGCAGCGTGTTTAAGCTGACATGAGATCAACTATAATAACCTAACTAGATTATATAGCTACAAATAATTGATTCTGAACAAAGACACTGCTTTTTTTTTTAAAAACTTTGTGAATACTAGAGCGGATTAATAACTACTAAAATCATCATGGATCGTATTGCAAAACCCATTCGCAATTTACAGGGCAATTTGTTTAAGTAAGACGCTTCAAATGGAATTGGTTTTCATTAAAAGTGCATCATAGTAAAGTTGAAGGAAAGTTAACAATGATTTTCAAAATATTGGGGGAAAAACTACCTCTAATGTCAGCTTATGTAAACCTCATAGCATATAAGCTATTCTCAGAATAAATCTATATTTTTTGTTAAGGTCTCAGACGTCTGTTAAAACCCTTTACCATCGCACACACCCCCACCCCCACATAGAACAGATAAAAACTCCTAACATCGAAAGAAAAATCAACCTTTCAAATGACTCGTTTTCCTTTATACACTATAAAACACTTAAAATATATCTTTAGCATAAGTTTATTAAATAAAATGTTTTTACAAACTGCATCCTGTTCCCAGTGTACCGTAGTTGGAGGGCTGGGCTTAATGCCTGTCAGTGTCCTATACATGTTATTGTCTAAATATATACCTGCATTCTCTTTTGTTTTGAGTACCTATATCAAAAGACTCAGAAGTAGATTGAATGGCCTGTCAGCCTTTATAGGATTATTCTTTCTAACATAGTTAGACCTGGGAAGAACCTCCAAGTTCAGATATAGATCCAAAGTTTCAAAATATCATGTTGAGATGACAAACTTTTTTCTTTATTTTCATGACTGTGAAAATTGTAGATTCAAACTGAAGGCATCAAAGCTACGAATTAACACATTGAATTATATACTGAACACAAAAGTGTGAAACAACTAAAAATATGTCTTATATTCTAGGTTCTTCAAAGTAGCCACCTTTGGCTTTGATTACTGCTTCGCTCACTCTTGGCATTCTCTTGAGTTACATGTAGTTATATCAAAAATGAATAAGGAGGTCAGGGCCCAAAAATACATAATACTTTTGATGCATCAAATACAAAACAAATAGTTTTTTTTCTCCAGTTAGTATGCTGAAGAAAAATGCAGACACAGCTGGTGTTCTACTCTATGTAAATGTTGATTTTCTGCAATGTTTCTGCATTTGATTTGCAGTAGCAATTTCAGTATCATTTAACAGTACATTCTCAGAAGCTTATGCTGAACAAGTATTAAACTTATTAACAATCCAAGTATATCACTAACACACATATAAAAACAACAATTAGGATCAGTAATCAATTTGTACAGCTTGTCCTTGTTCAAGTTCCCTCTTCAGCATTGATTTACCAGTATAATCCCAGCTTTGGCTGTTGCAAACTGAAACAGGATCCACTCGTACGTGTTCGGCCCCCACATGCCGAGCCGGTCTCCTTTCGTGAGCCCAAGAGCCAGAAGTCCTGCAGCAGCTTGGTCCACCTGCAGAGATACCAAAAAAAAGAGCTCAACCTCATATCAAATAGATAAAATACTTCATCTTGTGTGAACAAAAACATACTTTACATCATCATTCATCGTTACTTTAAACTTTTGTTCCTTTTATCCTGGAGGAGATCATTTCTCTAAAGAAGCTGTTTATTTACCATCTTCATTGCAGATTATTGCCACATTCAATAAAAACAGAAAAAAAGCCTAAATTTAGGCAGGACAGGTTTCCCAGAAAGCAACAAGCATCAAGCATAGAAACTAACGTGATGTTTCACCTTCAGGTTTCCTCTGAATCTACATCAGATCCACAGCGATGCACATTATACATTAGTATTTAACTGGAATGTTAATTTTGTTTAGTAATTTAGTTTTTAAAAAGTATAAAAATAATTTAGAACACAGATTTATTAGATACAGACTGTTGATGTATGTTAGGTTTGTTAATTGGGGCTTATATTGAACAAAAAATGAAATCCAGCTTCTCTGAAAATTTTAATGTAACACAATACTAAAAAAAAAAAAAAAAAACTTTTAATGTCCCGTAAAAACAGTGTACTGTTCCTAAGCCTGGTGCGAAGGTTCATTTCCTTCATGACCCCATGACCATGGTGTCACTGATTGATAAGTCAATAAAATGGTCACATTGGAAGAATTAATTAATTCATGACTTTTACCATTTGAAATAAATTCATTAAAATTTTCAAGAAAATTTAAATGATCTACTGAAGCACAAGGGGCCTGAACATCTTTATCCAGGATTCAGAATTTCCCTCAATAATGATAGAAAAATACAGTTAAAGATTAAAAAAAAAAGGTCAAGGGGAAAAGTGTTGCACAAGAGTTAACATGAGCTATTTAAAGCACACTGAACAAAGTCCAGGAGAAGTTTAGAAGACTTTTAAAAGGGAGGGGAAATCTTGGCTTAAAATGAGTAACTTTATGAAAACAGGACTCAAGCACTGTAAAGAAAAAGAAAAAAAAGCTTAAGTTTCAAATTCTGCTTTTTAGTCACCTTCAAACCTTTCAAGTCTAACTTATTCTGATATCAGAAGCAAGAACAAGCCAACATTGACCAATTTGAGAAACTAACTTTCGCCAGTAACAGTGACAGGCATAAATAATAATGTCTAGTGTTGCACCGATACCAATACCAGTAACAATCTAGCACTAAAATGGTATTGGTATCAGCAAGTACCAACAAATAGGGCACCGATACAATTTTGAGAGCCAAAAGTTTATTCAACTATTGTTACCCATTCCAGGTAGGCAATACAAAGTTCTACTGGATTCATTTTGTATTAGTCAATCCAGACCCAAGTTCAATGAATATGTTAACTAAAATGTTGAAATATTTAAAGGAAACAGAGAAAATGTTTTAATCACAATACAAGGAAACATTTACATTATATTTAATAGATAGAAACGAGAACAATGAGAGAGAAATATTCAAAGATCTATGTACCTTTTCACCAGGCTAATTATCCAGAAATAAAAAGAATTCAATGAAATATTTTCTTTTGATATAATTTAGGGATTCATTTGAATTGAGAAAGCTTCCTGGAGAGGTGGCGAAACGTCTTCAAATCTTGGAAACCAAGTCCAGTGGATATTTTTTTAATTTTAACGGAATGACTATGACCTGGATGACTGAGAATCTTCATCAGCATCTTGATGGTTAGATAAAGTCTTTTTTTTCGCTTGGCAGAGGATGATCAACCACATAGTTTATTAAGTATGGATAGAAGAGCCAATCTGCTTAGAGTGAACCATTAGAGTGGAGCGTGAAGCGCAGACTCAGGGCTCCACGTGCAAAGACGCATTTCTGCACAAGCACAGATGGAAGATCAGAGCAGAGTGGGCGACAGGATCAAACAGGACGCAGCTGCACAGCTGATACTGCTTAGCTGATTACAGCACAATGATGCATTTTAAACGTCTGACCGACCACCCGCATTTTTTTAATTTAGACTCATCTCATCCCGTTGACGAAAACTCAAACCTGTGGCTTGTCATGTTTTAGTCATTAAAGGTCAACGTTTAGCTAGTCAGTTTTTGTTATCGTCATTAATAAAAGAAGCCTCAACGAAATGATTTTGTCATCAGCATTGTTGATGAAAACAACACTTCTGGGAACAACAGTCTTTTAGTGGCAGTGGGAACAGCTCACTGACGTGTGTCTACCCACATTAATCCCCTAGGCTCTGATCGGCATGCTGTGGAACACCAGAGGAGGGTCAACCCGCTAATTTACATGATACCTTTGAATGCAACATACGGACGTCAACACAGCGTGCCAGCCACGGGATTCGAACAGATAATAGAGCAAAACAATAAAGCACACTTACTACATATTGTCTTCCTTACATTTTGCTCTCCATTGTTTACTCTCCTGATTTCTGTCGACCCAGCTTTTTTTGCCAATGGTAATGGAGACAAATGCCTATTGTTAGCTGGTTGACCAATGTTTGAAAAAACACACGTTAACCCGGTATTTTCTGTGAGAAAGAGGCTTCAGTGAATAGAAGGAACAAAGTTACTGTAACCCTGAGATTTTTGTCTGATTGTGTGGATTTATTTGTGGAGGAGACTCACATCTTGTTGAAACTCTGCAAAGGTTTTGCGGATGCCGTCTTGGACAAAGACCACAGCCTCCCTGTCGGGCAAGCGCTCCACCGTCTTCTGCAGGGTCTCTGCCACCGTGTCGTGGAGCAGCGACCAGGACGACGTGCCGTGGACGTAGCTGGTGGTGAGAGTGGGAACGACGGGTGCAGAGTCCACGTGGATGGCCCTGAGCAGAAGGCATGAGTTGATAAGAAATCTAGTAACATCATTATGAAACACAGAATCTATCTCCAGCAGTGGCTGCAGATAGAGAAACTCCAACGGGAATCCTAACCATCTTTTTAATTCTGCAAATATTTAAACCTTTATCTTGCAGACATGAAGAAGCCTTCAGGATGCAAAGAGGAAAAAAAGTATAAATATGAGGCCACTGTAAGAACTTGAGTGAGTTTGACTGGTCTAATGTTCGATAGCCAGGATAAAACCATCCCTCCACCCATTTAAAAATAAACACAATGGGATAGGGCACACCTTTGTATAAATATGGGACATATACATACCTATGCATAGATAAAACCGCAATGCATCACTAGATCCAACTTATGCCATTATTGTTAGAGACATTTATACAACAAACAAACCCTCAGCAGCCTGACACACTAATCTACCTAAACTCATTCACAACTCCCTCCTAATCCCCCCATAAACTCAGATCTCGATTACAGCAGAGATCCTCTAATTTATTTATCCAAACAAGTAGGAGTTTCTGTAACCCCTCATTGTCTACAAAGTGATGTGCATCTTCTGTAAAAAATTTACCTTTTACTAATTACTGCCTCATCCCTTGGTGATAATTATTTTCTGTTTCTAAAACCCTTATATCACTGCATGCCAAAGTTTAAAGTGCCCTCAAATCTAAATCTATTGAATTGCTTATGCAAATATTAAAAGAAGGAATCAATAACAGGGTAAACCTCTAAGTAGGCAAAAGGGCTTCAGTAGCATTTATTAATTTATTCCTTCATTTCAGGGTGTAAGCCTCATTAGAGCTCCAACAATGGAAAAATGTTCACTGGATGAGGGAATGGCTCCAAATTTCTTTTTTGCAAACATTTTGGCTCACAACCCTGTAAGAAACAGGAGGCCCCAGTTTCTCCAAGCGGGGAAGAGAGTAAGACACATTCCTGAGGTCTCTGCTAGTGTTGGCCTGTTTGTTTCATGTACCAAATCATAACAAGAGTGTTTCTAGAGTTTCATTCAGCAGACTGAGGTGAAAATATTATCTTTCTTATCTTGGCATCTCTAGTATCTTGTTGAATACAGTCTAGAAATGTGTGTGAAAAGTCTGTTTCAAAGTCCAGTTGAACCAGTTTCTCAGTTGATGAAACACTTAAACAATGGACAAAGCATTAGATAAATGGATTCCTCCCAAAATCAGTACAGGTGAGTCAGAGATTTACAGTTTTACATTAATCCAGCAAAGATTACAAGCTCATATGAGCAAAAAGGGAGTTGTGCAGCTTTTCCAGGGTCGTTTAGCAACCAACAGTAAATGGAGTTATTCTCTCAGGCATAAAAACACAGAAAGGATTTGCAAGCTCTACATGTAGAATGTCTCTTTTGTTGGTCAAAAAAAAGTTGAATACTTTTTGGCACTTGGTCCAGTTATTGAAACTCATATTTTTGCAGATTTGCTGCACAAAGTGAAATATTTCAAGCCTTTATTTCTTAGAATTTGGCTTACAGATAATAAAAAATAAAAGTATCACATTGAAATGTCCTTATTTTTGAAGGAAAACACTGTACTTTTAAATGAAGATAACTTTAAACTAGTCTTAACAACAGTCTATTCTTGTTCTTAGAAATGAAGGCTATTCCATGCGAGAAATTGCTAAGAAATTGAAGATTTCCTACAATGGTGTGTACTACTTCCTTCAAAGGACAGCACAAACAAGCTACTGCGGGTACTATTTAATTAAGATGCCAGTTGGGGACCTGTGTGGCGTCTGTTTCTCAAACTAGAGACTCTAATGTACTTATCTTCTTGCTCAGTTGTGCAACGCGGCCTCCCACTTCCTTTTCTACTCTGGTTAGAGCCTGTTTGTGCTGTCCTCTGAAGGGATTAGTACACACCGTTGTAGGAAACCTTCAATTTCTTAGCAATTTCTTGCATGGCATAGCCTTCATTTCTAAGAACAAGAATAGACTGTCGAGTTTCAGATGAAAGTTCTCTTTTTCTGGCCATTTTGAGCATTTACAGTAATCGACCCCGCAAATGTGATGCTCCAGAAACTCAATCTGTTCAAAGAAAGGTCAGTTTTATGGATTCTGTAACGAGCTAAACTGTTTTCAGATGTGTGAACATGATTGCACAAGGGTTTTCTAATCATCAATTAGCCTTCTGAGCCAATGAGCAAACACATTGTACCATTAGATTGCTGGAGTGATAGTTGCTAGAGATGGGTCTCTTTACACCTATATAGATATTGCACCAAAAACCAGACATTTGCAGCTAGAATAGTCATCTACCACATTAGCAATGTAGAGAGTGTATTTCTTTAAAGTTAAGACTAGTTTAAAGTTATCCTCATTGAAAAGTACAGTGCTTTTCCTTAAAAAATAAGGACATTTCAATGTGACCCCAAACTTTTCAACGGTAGTGTATATATTTTCTCGTAAACTGAAAAGTAAGGTTTGTGAATTATATCTTAATTCATTTATTTTATAGAACATTTGTTTTCCTCGGTTAACCTTTACCTAGAAGTTATCTATTTGTCTTAGACGAGATTATTTTCCTTAGCGCGTTTCCATTTATAACATCTTTTTGTAATTACAATCTGCGCAATTTGATGGTTAATGGAAACGCTGCTTCTGACTGCAGGCTCACACTGAAGGAGATGTGGGTGCAGCAAGGAAGCCAAATTGTACAGATCAGCCATGATGCAGTGCTGAGTGACTCAGAAAGAAGCGAGCAGTGCCCTCCCTCATCAAACTCCTGGATTTCACAATCCAAACATAAAAAAGTCCCAGTGAATTAAAAAAATAACTCTGTGCCAAGATGACATGTGAAAAACAAAAAGGCAAAAAAAAAGAAACATGAGGAAACAGCAGGGCTACTGGATGGTGAAAAAGAAGTTTATGTGCACAGATGCCATGTTTAAACTCTTCAGAAACAGTTTTTTATATATTCATCAAAAAAATAAAAATAAATTAACCAAGAATTATATTAGGTCAAATCTAATTTTAAGTTTGTTAATTGTTTTCATAACTCAAATCTTGAATAGTTACTGTTTTATGCAGAATGGGGAGGAGGGGCCCGCCCAGGGGGCCATTTATGCAAGAAACGCCACTTTAAACATAACCCTAGTTAAATTATCAAGTTCAGTTAAACATAAACCCAAGATGTAGCCTGTGAAAAACAACAGTTTAGTTTATGTTTTCTTTTCTAAACCACTGAGAGCATATTTTGCAATTTTTATAATTTCCCATTTCTTCAGATTTTTACAGCAGATATATAAGGAATGTCTGTTTATCTCATGCAAAATCAGAGATCAGTAGAAAAGTTGCGACACCCATGTATGTTACATAAGGAGAAAGTAGACAAATCTGCCAACAAAGTTTTCTGTCTATCATCTCTGATTTTATGGTTGAAAAGTAAAAATCGCTGCTTCTGGTTTTCCTCACCGCGCAGTAATTGGTGATCCTGTTTTGAACGTCCATGGTGTCCGGAAAACCCTCAGAGCTGCGGAGAAAGCGCTGTTTCTCCGGAGGAACTGGGAACCAAACCCAGCGGTGGGGATGATCATGGTGAGCAGCTGCAGAGCTCAGACAGCTCCAGGCCGGGAGGAGATCCTGCACACTGAGCGCTCAGCAAACTGCTTATCTGGCTGCAGACTCACCAGATACTCGAACCTTGAACCCTCAGACAGGGTTGCACGCTTTCATTGTTTTTTTAATTTCTTTAACAGGGTTGATCAGATGGGGGCGCTGTCTCCCCTACCCAGATCCAAACTTAATCATATTTACAGCACTGCATTTCCTTTACATTTCTACAATGATAGCCCAAACTGTGAACATCTCATTGAACTCAAAATGCAATATTTAAATGAGAAGCAGCTAAGAAAGTGATGGTAGCTCTGGAGGAGCTGCAGAGAACCGCAGCTCATGTGGAGGAACTATTAATGATTCACTTCACAAATGATAAAAGGAAAGGTGTTTTTGAAATGAAGCAAAAAAGAAAGAAAAAAAAGGGCCAGTTTTTAGTCAGTAAATAATGATTTGTCATTCTTCACTGAATAATGAGGGTCATATGAGATGGAAAATGTAAATTTTAAACCAGACAGAGAGGTGATAGCCAAATTTAATAGGAACAAGGATGAAAATATACAGCAATAATGAAGGGAACTTAGAGAATTGGGTGAACTGCAGGGACTGAGCTAGATGAGGGGCCAGGGGTGGCCATGTACCCTAAGGCAATCATTGGCCACCCCTGTGGCCACCCCTACCATCTTTCCCTCTAATACAGACGGTGTCAGCAGTAATACTCTCAAGTGGAATATCCCTTTTCATTTTTCATATTTTTTCAGGTATTCATAATTTATTGACAACAAAAACAATGCGGTTAATTTTGCATATCCATATGCTAACATTAAAGACAGTGAATACAGAATTCATGCTCTTTTCAGAACTAGATTTTGTGTTATATGGGCTAAAGAGAAAATGATTTGTCTCTGCAACTAATCTAGGAGTCTTCCGTGAAATCATATGTAAAGAACTATTTTAATAAAAACGTATTAAATAATCCATTTATGTAGATATTTGTACTTGTAAATATCAATTTTATGCAGAATGATTATTGATAAAAGTAGGTTAGTAATGACAATGGAAAAAAGGTTTGCCCCAGAACTCAAACCTGAAAGTATCGTATCTGCTATACATTTTATAAGAATCAGAATCA